GATAAGAAATAATGAAATTACCAACTGTTACTATGGTATATATTAGAGTCCGTGTGATAAGAAATAATGAAATTACCAACTGTTACTATGGTATATATTAGAGACAGTATGATAAGAAATAATGACATTGATTATTTCTTATCACACGGACTCTAATATATACCATAGTAACAGTTGGATAATGTCATTATTTCTTATCATACTGTCTCTAATATATACCATAGTAACAGTTGGTAATTTCATTATTTCTTATCACACGGTTTCTAATATACACCATAGTAACAGTTGGGTTTATCACATTCAGTATGATTACAAAAACTTTAAAGTACTAACTCTGATCTGTTCTACCACTACTACAGGAATGAGTCTTCACCCAAGATCTTGCACAAACTTTATACAACACCATCATTCAAACCTGATTTTTCCCCCTTCAAAATACACTAGAAAATATTCTTCATATTATGAACAATATTTTTGGTGACACAACCATTTTGTCAACAGAGGTAGACAAGACTTAAATATTTCTAGGGAAGTGCAAATCATTTTTAGCAAGTACATGTATCTTTCAGTTCATATTCACCTCTCATGTATCCAAGTTCATTTTCTGTATTTACCTCTTGCTAGATTTGGTTTTGATCACACAAAGATCAAAATATTTTAGCTGAAATAAAGAAAAAAAAATTATTATGGAAACTACTACAAAAGTTTTGATACTGCCCTGGTACTAACCTGTAAGTCCAACCTTCTTACGACACATATGACATCTGTTCTTTCTCGTTTTCTTATCTTTAGTAGATACTTCATTGGGTTGACTTGATATTTCTGGTTCAGCATTATTACTGGAAGAGGAAGGTGTAGCAAAACAATGATCACTGTCTTTGTCCTGATGACTGGGGGACTGCAAAAGAATTAAATTTTGTATTAAATTTTACAAGAAAAAAAACCTGCTAGAGATTTTCTCAAGCTAGTGAGCTTGACTGAAAACATGTTTATAAAACACAGGTATATTCAAAGTTAGATATACAAAACTTGCACATGAACACAAGTGGCTGCTAAATCATTTACAGATATATTATAAATATTCTTTATTCAGCTTACTAACAACATGCCAAATCTTTACTGCTGAAAACTAGCTTCCAGCAACTTCGAAAAGTAAACTGTCATTATATCAACCCTTCAAATGATAAAACTATTTTAGCCAATATTTTGCCATTGTGACTCCATCTGTGCTAGTAGTACAAAAATGGTTTGATTTGAAGTTTACTTATCCAAGTTAATTATATATATTTTAAATCAAATAATTTTTTTACTATTAGTCCAGATGAAGTCACAGTAACAATTTTTTTTGTCATTATCTATAAAGTAAAGGTTGTTTCTTTCTTTGTCACAATGTCTGAAATTCTCCAAATGATATTGCAAAAAATTTTTTTTTTGTCTTCACAATGCAGAACACATTCAAAAACTTTAAATTCCTATGCAAGTTATACAAATAGTTATCTTGTAAAATATTGTACTGGTAAATTTTACTATGACATACTTATGTAAATAATTGTCCATATTAAACTATAAAAACCTAACCTAAAAAGCATGTATTACAGTTGTGTGTCATCTGTGTATCCATCTTTTCACATAACCTGCTCCATCACATTTTTTTCTAGCTCATTTCCTGGTTATTGTTACAGAAAACAAAAACAATATTACTTATCATTTCAAGCATTTTAACAACTTAATACAAATACCTTTCAATAATGAGAGAAATTTCTTTTATTACAGACCGTTAGCTATAATACTTAGACAGAATTAAATATTGGTGCCTCCTTACAATCATAAAAATATACAATTTATCACATATTGTACAAGAAAATAGCATTAATGTTTACCTTTTACTTCGGATAAACATAATTAATATTAGATTTAAAATACATAATTCATGTTAAAAGCATTTTATTAAATTCCAAAATAAAGTACATTATGTTTCTTAGGAATAGCCCCTACTCATTTCCATATCCTACTGTATAATCTGATTAAACATTTGTTTTACAGAACAAAAATTTTCGTTGTACACAACTTTTGTTGAAGTCTTCCAGAAATAGTAACTTTCAGTGCCAAAAATCTACACACACTTTCAAACTTCTACAAACCTATAAATCTTATTTCACAATACAGTTGGATAATATCCAACATCCTGTTTATAAAAATATGTTTTCTGTTCTAGAAATACCACATGAGAAATCAGCCAGAAATTGAAAAAACGTTTTTAGTGCCTAAATGCAAAAAACCATTTTGGTAACATATTATTTCAATAATGTAGGTTTTTATTTTGAGTTCATGTGTTCCAAAGAATTAACTTTCTTAAAGACTAATATAAACTTTTTTTTTTTACCCACTGATACCAAAATCATCAAATTTATATTTTTGTTAGCAATTACTTATATTTTCAAAGTTTAAATTATACTTTTGATAACATTTAAAATTACATACCCAATTCTTTTAACATATATGAATTTGGATTTTTGCACCTGACTCAGACATGTCTTCTTAGACAAATATTGTAATTTTAAAATTTACAGTGATTTCATAATGTTGGAAATTAATAGCACTGACATCTACTGTATCTAAAATTAATTGCGTCTCTCATAAAGATGTTTATTTACACAAAGAATCAAAGACAAAGTAAAAATAGAACAAGTGTCAAACAAAACATGAAATCAGAGTACAGTGTGATCACATTATTGGTATGTTGGCCAAATTACCTTTAAAATCAAAACATCATAAAATTTCCTCATTTAGATTTATACTTTAGTGAAGTGTGTTTAATCCTTATTATTGCTTTCTTATCTTGGCCAACTTTTCCTCCTTTTCAAAGATTTAGATCTGCCATTTGTTTTTACACATTTATTATTATTAATTTAAAATCTTATGAAACTGTATCAGTTTATATATGATAAAAGAACAAAAGCTTGTAATTTATCCATTTAACATTTTCTTCTACAGGTTTTAAATGTAATACAAGTCTAACAAATAAAGAAAATACCTTTTCAGTTTTTCTGACTAATGCAGATTTGTATGTTATTTACTTTAAAAATATCAGATTAACGTTGGTATAACAACCCACCCAACTGATAAATATTTACTCTAAACAACTTTCTTAAAAGAAGGGTTTAGTTCATGTAAATTAAAATACACCAAAATCACCACAAACTTTATTGGATAACAGAGGATAAGTAAGTAAATGACCTAAAGCTTTTTGAGAAAGATCAGCCTTAATAATAATTTACATTTAGACCAATACATGCAATAAAAAGCATAATTACTCTTAAATTATTTACTAACCCTATGAGCAAAGACTTGCATATTTTATACAACTTTGTAACCACCATGAAATTATTAAGGTTTACATATTATAAAACTCTGAAAATACTTAATGTATCTTCACACAACTTGGCAAGCTCTTAGCAAATGTCTCAAATCTTTTGTACATAAAAAAAAAAAAAATTATACCAAGTATTTTTATTAAAGATTCAGCTGTGGATTTATGGAGTCAAAAGTGTTGACTGGCCCAAGTGCAAGGTGATTTTCATGTTAAGATTAATAAGTTTTATTCATCTTACAGTTTTTGAATTTCATTTTTATAGCCTCCTAAATGAACACTTTTTTTTCAGTCAAACTTTATATTTTATCTGTAATTTATTTTTACTCTAACTATACAAACTCTGTTCATTTGGCTAATTTTGTAACCACAAAAAATATGAAATAAATCTAAATTACCCCCCTCTTCCTAGAATCACTGTAAGCTGAAAATTACAACTGGATTCCACCCAGTCCATAGTCGAAGAAATAGATAAAAAATGTCCATTAAAAACCAGAAATTTAGTTTGGCTCTTTTTTTTGCTATCAGCTTATCAATGAAACTTAAGCCTACATTTTTTATTGTGATAATGGTTCTAGTATATTAAATGATTTATTTACAGAATGCTCATATGAACACAATAATATCATGTACACAGCAGACAATGTCCTATAACTGTTATAACTTAACTGGCTTTCTAACAAGGCATAAATACCTTAGCCACTCAATCTGAACTGGGCAAGAGCAACTTTCAATCCATAGGCAAAACATAATCTGTGCTAAGAAAACATAGCATTATACATCATTTGGTAACTTAAAACTGTCTTTCTACTGGGTATAAATGATAACATAAAAAATGTCAAGAGTGAATTATTGGTGATTTTTGAAAGAGGATGTAGCAAGTGGGTTTGACTATCTATTTCTATCTTCATAAACAAAGGCTATAAAAATTAGACTCTACCTTAGTAATAGCTGTACGATAATAAGTGGTTTATGTTAAACTCATTACACCAGAGAAAAGTGTTGAAAAAATTAGAGGGAGAAAATGCACCAAAACAAAATATCACGAGCCTCGTACAAGGAAATATTAAAAGGAAATACTTAAATCCTCCAAATTGAAAAACTTAATAAATAAAATTTTAGTATCATATCACTACATTCTTATACCAAGTTTATCCATATACACTAATAATAAAAGTTGCTTAATTAAATTTTGAACCAACAACCTCTCAGTAAACATGAAATGATTAAAATTACTAATAGAGAAATAAAGAAAAAAATTAATTTCTGATACAAATATCTGTTGGTTATCATACTTCTTATGTCACTGACAAACAGATCATACAGTAATGTAAACACAGTCAGCTTATGACCAAACCTAAAGTAAACAAAGAATCTGGGTTCAATTTAGTTACAGATGAATTCCATTAGTGTATCGTTCTTCTTAGATTTCTGATGATTTCACATGGTCTAATCCAGTAGCCCACATTTTACAATTACCCTACCTTTGAAACTTCTGACTCCTGGCTACTACTGGAAATAATAGCTGAAGGTATGGTGGGTAAGGCAGTAATTAAGACTTTCTCAGGGGATGAAGTAGCTCCAATACCTATTCCATCATTAGTTGTTCCTTGAGCTACAATGTAAAGAAAAAAAACTTTACTAATTTAGGTTTCAACTGAGGCTTTCAAATCATGTTTCTGTAGAACATTTGGTTTTGAAAATAACTGATGTTTCACTCTTTCACTGTCAGGCACATATTCACCCCTCCCCACCCTCTGGTGTACAGATAAGTGATTTAATCAATTACCTACGAGTAGCAATTACTTTGATTAAGGTCAATCAAGATTAGTTTTATGAATATTACCATTTCTGATCATTCCAAGAATTGATTAACTGAAATTATGATTAAACCAATCATCAAAATAATCAAGTACGTGAAATTAGTGTTTCTGATTATTCCAACTATCTAAGCAATCAAAATATTGCTATTAGGTTTCTTTGTTAAGCACAAAGCTACACACAATGGGATATCTGTGTTCAGTTAAATTTTAACCCAGTAAGCTTTTTTTTTTAATTTAAAGTTTGTTCAGCTTTGATGACTTGTGGGGAGGAGGACTTCCTGGTTTGGAGATCTTTGGTTCCAATCCCATGACTACCAAACTTGCTAATCCTGTTTTTGACTATAAAAAAGACAAATGTCTCACAGCACCTGCCACCAACATTTTCTGTGTCAATGTTAGTTTTTAATGTTTAGTATGACACAGAAAATGTCAGTTTAAAAAAAAATAAAAAAGGGACAATAGTTTTCACAAGTGGTTATTGAAAGCAAGGCCATAAAAACAAACAAATCCTCAGGTTCACTATAGTAATCTTATAAAAAAATCATTAGATACTGATGAAACTGGAAACACTTAAGCATTAATTATTCTATGTAAATTTGGAAATTCTTTAATTTCATTCTCACCAGATGAATTAAGATGGCCAGTGATTCCATTGTTAGACGTAGACTGTTTTCTTTTAACTGCATCTTTGTAGCACTGTGAGCAGAGCCCATCTGTAGCAGGACTTCCATAAAACCCACAACCAGATCTACACATTGGAGCATTCTGTGACATTTGATTGGTATCTCGCTCCATCACCTTTCACTTGTTAGTGTACTTATGACTATGAATTGAATAGTCTGCTGAGGGGAAAAAAAATCAAGTTTTGAAGCAAAACATCCTTGGTTTTATAGTAACAATGCTTTAGACTTAAAATATATACTTTTAAAAGGTTAAAACTATAGACAGAAACTGCAAGCAATATCCAAGTAATGTATTCAGAGAACATCAAATTCACTTAAGCCATCCTATCCATTAAGCTTTAAAATAAGTTATTCTTATATGGCCTTTCCATTCCTAGGTATCATTCCCAAAGCCCCCTCCCCTGAACCATTTCCAACAATTTAATGTTCTCCCTAAGGTAAGTAGACCAAGGCTGAACACGGTACACCAAATGTAACCTGGCCAGAGACCTATACAATGAAATCAAAACCCCTTTAGACCCTTTGTTCAATATTTAGATGGCTGAAAAGACTGATCAATCAAAATACCAAGATCATTTTCACCCATAATACTTTCATTTATTCCCATCAAAATCACTTTAAACTGAAATTATAACCCACATGCATTGCATTTATAATTAAAAGCCATCTACCATTTAGTTGCCCAATTCACCAAACAATCCACATCCTCCTCACAGCCAGCAAACCCAAAAGTCTTAACATCAAAAGGCTGTGAAGCTGCTTTTACAAGTTCTTTAATTTTCCTAACATAAACCCCGAATCTTAATGCAAGATTAATATAGTGACATAAATAAAACTGATTAAACAACACATTTCACTTACTCCAATCCAAACCAAAACTTGCTAATATAAATAGCCTCAATCACAACTGGTACTATGACATATCCTAGTCAGCCTGACAACCCTTGATATCAATATTAGTGCTAAATATAACAGGTTTTTCAATTCCTTTGGAACTGAAATGCTACTGGCAATCTCTCTTTCTTAATAAATAGATATTTTATTAAAATCAAATACCTTCAATAATTTATTTCAAACAAGATTTTATATCTATGTAATTAGTTTTACCTCATAAATTTAGCATATAAACATGCTACTAAAATTTTCTAACAATTTTGTGCATTTACCACAAAATAATAAAAGTTTTATTCAGAATAATGAACAATCATGATTTAGTATTACTTTTGTTTGTACCTCAATTATAATGCCAGAAGAATCATAAAACACCAAATATATTTGTTTACTACTACCTTAATACTAATAGTAATACAATCACAATGCAGATCGATCTTGTCTGAAAAAATTGGTTACAATTAACTTCTTACAAAGTCAAGAATGGTCTGTGTCAGCGAGTACCAGAGAATGGGAAAGGCTTATGCTTAAGTTTAATTAAAGATAAACAAAATAAAACACTAAAGTATTAATCTAATATTATGATGTAAATTTTAACTCTGTAACATTCAACTCCAAAACTGAAAAATACACATTTATTTTATTTGTGGAATATCTTTTCTATTAAACTTTGATTAAATTTTATGTTCAAACAAAATTATCAACACTTCTTGTGAAATTTCCCTATTCACGCTTCTTAATCACTTAAAATATATTCTTTCCTATGCTTCAGTATTATGATTCACTGACAATATGGCGCCTACAGAATGACTAAGCCTAAGTCTGTAAGTATAACTTGTACAACTCTGCGGCCTATCCCCGTTGTAGTACCACTACTAGATTACTACTAACGTTAGCACTACGTAACTAGTAAACTAAAGGCCTTGTTACTCGAATAGAATAAACATAACTATAAACTAAAGAAGTTATTGGATTTTACACTTAAATACAATTATCGGTAAAGTTATATTAAATACACACCTCGAAATTATAAAGAGTGACGAAATCTTGAATAAATATCCTATTATTTATACGAACTGTTCAACCTTCCCTAACATCCCATGTACAACCTTCTTTCTTCGTCTACAATTGACTAACCTCGCGAATTACTAAAGCTTTTGTCACACGTCACACGTAGAATTCACGTGATACACAACCAGTATATGATTGGCCAAAGTAATGCCAAGACTTAAATGTGCGACCTCATACGCAACACCCATGTGATTTTCTATGACGACACCCATGACTACTTAGCTTTTATGAAAATCAAAAACGTACCCAACGTTGAAATGACGTTAAATCAAAATTGTGACGATTGCTTACGAAATTAGATTCGTGGTAGGCACTGTAGTGACTGTACTACCCTTGGTTACATACAATTTTGTTAGAAGCGGGTGGTTTCTTAAATTCAATCCTTTCAAAATTGAGTATGTGAAACTGAATCAGTAATTATATACAGCGTATATGTAATTTATTATATTCCTTCAAGTTTCACCAAGTCCCATTATGAAGAGTACGCTAACCATATAAATCTTAAAGATAAACACACACATACTCTGACTATTTGGCGCAAACAGTAGCTTCAAATATCAAAGCAAGAGTTACTCCCACATAATAAATGAAGTATTAATATTAGAAATACACGACCTTATTAACACCGAAACGTTGTTTTTATTTGATTAAACACTCAACGTTTTGCTGTATAACTTCTTCAGGAGCGTTCACTAAAACAGAAACTGACAGTAAAAAGCTTCAAAATAATTACATGAAATATTTATTAAACGTTTCAGAATCTTCAAAATTTCCCCTTCACTAAACAACAGGTACAAATATATATATATATATATATAATGGTAATTACACCAGAAATATGATATAAAAGTATAATTTCCAGAAAAATCCGACAATATTACTTTGCAGGTTTTTAAAATGCTACCTAGCAGGCTTAAAAATATTACATTTACTGTAGGGGCTTATGTGAGGATCTGCGGACTTGCAACACTAGAAACCGGATTTCGATACTCGTGGTGGGCAGAGCACAGATAGCCCATTGTGTATTTTTGTGCTTAAACTACAAACAATGAAAATAGGAAATATGCCAGAGCAACAACTTTTGTTGTTTTAACGAGATCTCCAGCTTCCTAGATTAACGGCCCGGCATGCCCAAGTGGTTAGGGTGGTGATGACTAGCTGCCTTCCCTTTAGTCTTACACAACTAAATTAGGGACGGCTAGCGCAGATAGCCCTTGTAGCTTTGCGCGAACTTAAAAAAAAACCTAATCTCCTAGATTAACAACTTTTTACAAAACGTTGCTCTTGCTACTTAGTTTGCAATATTATTATAGTGATGCTATCGATAGAAATAAATTTTGTCAATATTTATCTATAGTAAATTATAGATTTTTTTTTCTTATTAGGAAATTCATAAAGGAAACAGAATTAGATACTATATTTAACAAACTCACTAATTTATTATTTATAATTCTCTACAACTTTTGAGAAACATTTTACATTAATATTTCTAATTGTTCTTTCAATTACTGTTTCATACATTAATAATAAAAACTACTAATAACTATTCGCAATTGTCTATTCACGCGCTATCTGAAAATTAATAAATTTTTGATATATCACGAGAACAGTGTTAAATTAAGACAATTTTATTGAATAACATTCATAACAGTATGCTCCCAGTAGCACAGCGGTATGTCTGCGGACTTACAATGCTAAAAATCGGGTTTCGATACCCGTGGTGGGCAGAGCACAAATAACCCATTGTGTAGCTTTGTGTTTAACTTCAAATAAACACAATTATCTGGTCCCCCGCTGGGACAGCGGTAAGTCTTCGGATTTACAACTCTAAAATCAGCGGTTCGATTCCCCTCGGTAGACACAGCATGTTGCTTTGCTATAAGAAAATACACGTAAGAAAAAAAAAAATACACAATTATCTGAGGAATCATATTCCTGTAGAATTTGATTGTAAATGGTTCGGTAGAGACCATTGAACCAGAAAAATGGTGATGTAAATTTTATTGGAGCAGTTTGAAGGACATTTTTAGGTCATTATATACCATCACTCTAAAATGGTCAATGTCACAATTGTAAACTGCATAAATTATATTTGGCTGTTAAAATCGTGATTAAGCATATGACATCATTAAACAGTATTTACCACCATGTCCATATAATATTTCATATAAACAGTCAAATAGAAATGAAAAAAAGCAAAAATATGTCTATTCTACTAATCATATTTCCAAATCAAAGTCATCGTCGAACACTTTCCATTATCATCAGAGCTTTTATCAACGTCGTCACATCGTAAAGTATTATTCACCATTTCATAAGCAATCATATAAAACTTTAAAAAATAATGTTATTTTAATAAATGGTTATGCTGTGAATGATATCTTTTTTGCTCAAAGCAATAATCTTTAAACACTTTTTTTCGTGATCATCCAGTTTCGATTAGTAAGTGTTTTAATACGTGTTGTCTTATTATCGAGTCAGCTTCAAAGACTCACATGGTAGTTGTACATATCAAATCCTTTTTTTTTACGAGAGCGGAAGCTAATTACATATCTGCGTTTTACACAGACGTTTTTGCTAATTCGTTTGAGCATGTTTGAGAAATATGAGTAACTAGACCTCCGTGACCCGTTGGGTCACTTACTATTCAGAGGTTACGAAGAATTCAAGCTAATTTCAATATTGCACCGAAATGAAGGTTTATTTCGAAATAATTTAATTAAATATTTCAATCCATTCGTATTATTCATAATTCAAGAAAAGATATTTGATTGTTGATCGGAAGGAAAAGGAAATACCATTTCATTTTTCAAAAAGTGAAGTAAGAAGTTTCGTAAAGAGCGCGAACGTTAGTGTGGTGTAAAATTACTCATGCTAGAAATTTTCCTAAAAGTGACCCGAGGTAAGTGTATCTGTAAGAGTTATTTCTCTGACAAAATCATAGCAATTATTTTGATGTCAGTTTTCTCTCAAATTGTTTGACATTATTCATGCAGTTTCCATTGGAGCTTTTGCTGTGATGGCTTGGCTATTGGAGATGGTCAGGATTATTCATTGATATAATTTTATAGTAAAAATGGCTCTACAGTTTAACTCTTCTGACACGGGGTCAGTAAATTTGACCGAGTCACTTGACCTTCTGTACTCATTTAAAGTTGACATAAATTGAATACTTATGACTCTATATATTGGGTATATCTTCACGAAATTTGGCAGTCTTTCACATACAAAAGGTCGTATTTCTTAGTGAAGTACTTTTACTAAAATAAAATTTTGTCCATGAATATATTGAGTATTTGTTTTGAATAGACAGTGTGCAAAGTAATTATGTTAAAATTAAAAATACTTGTCATCATCTCAAAAATCTCAAATTTCCTTTGTCTAATCCCTAAAACCTAAATGCATTTCAAACGTTTTTTTTCACTAAATCCTTAG